AATATTAGGATTTCATCTTCCGTGAGGGGCTGGTACATCCTCGATCTTCGGAGCTGCACGATCTGCTCATGTCGCTTTTGCATTTCTTCTGGGCTCAACGTGCTGTGCAGCTCGATCTCGGTATAGCAGTACCTGCTTGCCCATGGGAGGTTTTTACAATATTTGGGCCTACTTGTTCTGAAGCATGACAACAGTATAATTTTAGATGGCAGCACCAGAAAAACGGAGAGACAGAATGAACAAAACGATGCAAAGAGCCATTCCATTGACTTTTCATAGCCATAGGTCAGCCCATAAAATACGATGAAGAATGAAGATATACTGGACGTGGCGAAAACCAAGAACCATGCTATATAAACACAACACGAAGGTATAGCGATCCTGCTCTTCTCCTTGAGTTCTACGGAACCCACGTGGGAAGGCGGCTCTCTAGAAGCAACATCTTTATTGTTATTTGTGTTTGCGTCACTGGCATTTATATTTTTTCCCTGGGTGTGTGAGATCTTGCTCTCTCCTTTCTTACGCTGGCGCCGAGTCGCAGAGGGCACCTTGGCAGTCTTTTGAAGTTTAGGACTTTTCCCAGATGGAAGCTTCGGAGACTCCTTGGTGGGTGCATGCACAGTTTCATGAGCATGCCACTTTTTCAGAAATTCCTCCCAGTATATATCTTCTAGCTCCAAGGAATCCTTTCGGGGAGATACCTTTTCTAGAGTCACACGAGGTTCCTTCTGGGAGTAGGTGAACAGGAAAATGATCAGTAGTTCCAGAGGGAGTGTAATTAAGACACTTTCCAGTCCTATCATCATTGACCTGATGTACCTCCCCTCTTCTGACTCTGTTTCTTCTGGTCTGTCGAGATTGAAGAACATAATATTACACAAAAGGGAGGCCATCAGCATTGCCAAACAGCAAGAGAGTCTCTGAAGCCTATTGAAGGGCCTAGCAATGACACTGGAGAAAATAGAGAACCACATGTGATCTCTCCCCAGCTTGTAAGTCGATTCTATCAGGAAAAAGTCCTTTTTGTTTATAGGGTTCTCTGGATCGGTAACGTGAAATGTTCTGTCCAAAGAGGTGTCAACAGAAAGCCATTCCCGGCATAAGAACAGCCAGATGCGTCTGCTGAACAGATTTTCCACTTTGATTCTGCTTAAATACCAACTGGGGGCTTTGCCCTCGTTGTTATGCCACACACGAACGGATTGGATGTCCCCCAAGTCACTTTTCGTCGTTAGGAGGAAAGTGTTGATGCCTCCGCGGTAGAGGGTTTTAAAATAAGGATGGCTCAGACAATGCACATCGCTGGCACCTTCTGTTCCCATAAGTTGGATGAAGACATCGGCCCTGGTCCCAGCCCCACAACGGCTTCCTGTAAAAACAGTGACGAGGTAACACACCTTATCATAAGGATCGTTATCAAGTAGAATTATCACACGTAGCCGAAGAAACTGATCCATTTCATCTCTCAGCAAGGCCCAGAAAGCTAGGATTATGTACATGAGCATGATGAAAAGTACAGTGAGAAGGGTCACAGGGTTGTGGGTAACGTTCTTCATGACCTCCAACCGTAGATCTACAGGATTAGGGACCACAATCACCTTGGCTGTCAAAAAATGGGTTTGCAGGTGGGTGCTGGCTTGTTTTATTAGGTCCAGCTGCCGCCGGGCCCTCCTTGTGGTTTGGCAGATACAGTGCACTCTTAGCCAGGTGGTCTTCTCTCCGAGAACACAGGTATCTTCTCTCCAATCGCTCTGGATCCCATACATGTCTAGGCAGTGAGCGCTGAAAAGAGCGATTCTCACCAGCTTTTCACTGGCTTTCATGACAAAACGAGGTGCCTGCAGAACTATGATCAAGGTGCACTCAGACGAGCCAGTTCGCTGAGCTACGACTTGCAGCAGGGATGCTGGAAGGCAAACCACGCGGGCCTCCCTAACTGTACAAGCTGAGTCGAACAGGTCACTCTGGTTGGCCATGGGAGGGATGTCATGGGGCACGAGGAAGGTGGCGACCAGAGCAGTGGGGGTAATTTCACTGCCGGCGTATACGAAAACCGTGAACAACACGGTCACTTCGGTCACAATGTGGACCAGCAACTGCTTCACTACACTGCTGTCCACCTCAAACCGAAACTCCCCTGTCGTCCTTTTCAAGGACTCCTCAGCTCCCTCAGGCTCATTCTCGGGTCCCACTGTGAGATTAAAAGCTGCAAAGCTCAAGTTTTTTCTGGCGATGTGCACTTCGGCTACATCAGGCATGATCTCGATCACATCGCCGTTAGGTGTGGTTCCTGTCATTCTGAATCCAACCACCTCTGCAGAACAGCTTTCCTGATCATTCATCCAAGGAAAGGGATCATCTGCAAATTCACAGAACATGGTGGAAATCGGGGCATTTGCAGGCAAACTAGGAATACTGCTCACGTTTAGCGTCGGACGAAAATAATTTCGACTGCTTTTCTCATTGCTGAAGACGTCACTAACGTCCCACTTTTCAGTCTTCCTGACGTACATGTTAAAGCTGGAGGATGTCATCGCAGTGGTCTCATTCCCTGGCACTTTACCCTCCAATATTGTGTCTGCTAGTAATTCCAACTCGTAGAAAGGCTCATCAACCACTTCATAGCTAACGATCAGTTTAAAGATACTAGACAAAGTTGTTAATATCCCAGTGCTCACGATTTCTATTTGTTCAGAGTAAAAGTGTGGATCTTTCTGTCGAGACTGGTGTAGGGCTTGATTTGCTTGCCAGATCCTCACTGTGGCGAGTTTCTGAGCCATTCGAGTGAATCCAGAGGTGGTCTGGGTTAATTTAGTAACACTCATGACTACCTGGCTGATTTCCACCAAAGTGCTATTGGGAAGAACGAAAGTCTGGTTGACAAGGTATTCCCGGAGTCTGGTTTTGTCAGCTTGTAAAGTCAATTCAGGTTTCATGTTATTCAAAACAGAAGCTGCTATATATATTAAATAACCTGCAGGTAGAAATTCCTGGTTGTCAAGCAAAGTAGACAGCGATGAATTCGGTCCCATGGTGAAATTGAATAAGCGATCAAGCACATCCTTCCCTGAGATTCTGTCCGTTGGAGCATGTACGGTCGCATACAAAGTCACCTGAGAAAAAGCTCCTAGAGAGTCATATACCTGAACATGGATCGTCATGGCATAACGATTGGCCAACACACCAACAGGGAGGAAGGAAGGGGGCGATGTGGGCTCACTCCCCAAATACAGGATGGCCCCCAGGGTGTTCTCTATTACAGAACTGATCTGACCAAAACCATACAAATCAGAGACTACCATTTTGTATGTAAGAGGGATGTTCTTATCCTTAAAATTATCACACCGGATGACAAACCTGGTAAAAAATGCAACTCCTTTATCTGGATTAATGCTGCACTCTCCGATTTGAGGGACATGGTTAATAATAAAGGGGTGCCTCAAGTCCAAGGTCTCCCCACTCCAAGGGGCTAGGTGCACAGACATCCAAAACTTAGCTTCAGGAAAATCCTTAAAAGCAAAAGCTTTTATAGACAAGTAAGCACCATTCCTCCCTGTTGTGGTGTGTTTCACCCAATCAAATGTTACCTCAGCACCCGAAGACGACAGAATCGACCATTTATAGACATCCTGGCTTGTTGAACAATTTGTGCAATTTAGGAACAAAGAAAATCTGTCTGAAATAACCAAAACGGCATCACAATTTTCAATACACGAAATGTTTGCTGCGGGGGCTGATCCTCTGAGCACGTGTACCGTTTTATCAATATATGCTGTCCTACCACCCTTCCGGATCACCATTCTGAAAAAGTACACACCTCCACCTTTAAGCGTTCCTGGTGAAAGTGTTAGGACAGGGCCAGAGGCCCATTTCCAGTTCAGATCACTTTGCTTCGGGTGACAGACGCTGTTGCTCATCACTGTGATTTTAGCTCCCTGGTAGTTTTTTGGATCTGTGGTACAGTACCAGGAGAAAAGGAGTGCCTCTGAAGGGCTGTCTGAATCTGGATCGGAGGAATTCGTTCCATTCAGAACCAGCCTATCTGTGAAATTAATTGTTACGTTGGGACCCCCAGGAATAACTGCCTTTAGGTCACTTCTAACAATGGTGACATACATGAAATCTGACTTTGAGACCTGAGGCCAATTTCGTTTCGTGTAGATGCTGACTGTGAATCTAAACACATACACCCCCCAAGATAAAGAATTTGGGGGGATATGTAAAATAGTTGGAATAAGCCCTGTTTTGATGGTTGGTACATCCAAAGGTCTATACCAGTTCGGCAAATGATTTACGGAGGGCACGGAAAAGACCTGCCACTGCGGAACAATTAACGTGGAGTGCGGACATTTGTACTTAAATGTTGCATTGAAGGTATCCTCCATCTTCCTGGTCAACACCACGGGAACATCGTCTTTGTTCCTCTGGATCTTTACCGTGGTCACCTCACAGGTCGCGTTTTCGGATACCTGGCAGGACACCGAAGACTCGATGGCTTGAGGACCGTCCGAGTTGACAGCTTCCAAAACAACAGGCGTGGGCCCGTCCGTGGGGCACTGGGTTTGGGCCACGAAGCCCGCGTAGCGGCGAGGGCCCTCGGCGGGCAGGTCGGGGGCGGCGCGGCGGGGGCGCCGCAGGGCGGCCGGCGGCACCCGCACGAGCCGGAAGGTCCACTCCGGGCGCCCGAGCGCGCGGTGCAGCAGCGGGGTGCGCCACAGCAGGGCCAGGCGGCCGCGGCGCGCGGCCAGCCGCAGGTCCACGAGCGTGGGCGCGGCGGGCGGGCGGGCGCGCAGCACGACGCGCAGCAGGACGCAGAAGGGGCGCGCGGGCCCGCGGGGCAGGCAGAGGCGGCCGCCGCCGCGCAGGACCACGCCGCCGCCAGGGGCCGCGCGGGGCCGCAGTTGGAGGCGGGCGCTGGCGGCCGGCTCCGCGGCGCCCGGGGCGCCCCTGCAGCCGCGCAGCGCGGCCGCGTCTCCCTGCGCCGGGCCCCGGGTCCGGGCGGCCGGCGGGGGGCGGCGGGCCGAGGCGGGATCCGGGCGGCGGGGTCCGGGCGCGGGCGCGGCGGGCGCGCAGGAGACGAGGACGGCAGCCCGGGCCCTGCGAGGAGCCGGGGGCTGCGGGAGGAGGCCGCGATCCGGGTCCGGGCCCAGGCGCAGGCCCAGGCCCAGCAGGAGGAGGAGCGGGGTTCCGGGCCGCATGGCGCCGCCTGCCCGGGAAGCTGGGAGCTGCCGCCGCAGGCCGCGGGTCCAGCCAACCGCCGCGGGGGGCGCGGGCCGCGGGGTCGCGAGCCTGATGCGGCGAATGCGGTGGGCTTCCGGGGCCCCCCGCCGCCCTCCCCCGCCCTTGCAGGCCTCCCACCAGGGCTGCTAATGGCATTAAGGCGGCCCAGGCTCCCAAGAGCCTGCGAAGGCCCCTTAGCTGGGATCCCGCTCCCCTGGGCAAAACCAGAGCGACTGTGAGCTCGCTGAGAGCCCAGGGCGGTCTGACTCCGGCTTTCTTCCTTTGCTTTGCTCTTCCTACTTCCTTGGGTTGAAACCCCGAGTCCTTGCTTTCAGATCTTTCTCCGTTTCTCACGGAAGCATTTAAGGCTGTGAACGTCCCACCCAACACTGCTTAACTGCCTCCTGCACTTTTGTGGTAGCTTTGTTATCCTGCAATTAAAAATATGTCTACTTCCCCCTGTTTGGGTTGTGACCCCTCAACTGAAATGCGTTGTTTAATTTCCAGGTATTTGGAGTTTGTGTGAAATCTTCCGGGTATATGGATTTCGAACTTAAGTCTGTCGTGGTCACAGAATACATTCGATATGATTTTGAACCCTTTACATGGATTGAGACTTGTTTGAAAGCTCATACAGTAGTGTGGTCTGCCTTGATGTATTGTCTTCGTGCACTTGAAGACCACGCGTGTTCTACCGTTGTTGGGTGGGTCGTCCTACACACGTGGAGTCCATCGGGATAGTTGGTACCCACCCGTCCCTTCTCCTATGTCTTTTCTGGATTTTTCTCGAGTTTTCCTGTCTCTGCTGAGAGAGGCTGTTAATGTCTCCTGTGGTGACTGGGAAATTGTCTTTTTTCCCCTTGAATTCTGCCCGTTTTAGCTTCATGTATTTTGAGGCTCTATTAGGTGGATACACATTTGTGGTTATGTCCACATGAATTGGCCCTTTTCTCATGATGAAATGTCTCTGTTTATCTCTAGTAACGATCTTTACAACAAAGAAGCCTATTTTACCTGATATGCAAATGCTGGAGGATATGTTGATTGTAGGTCAATAAAACTGGAAAATAAAATAGCCATACTAGCCTTCTTATGCTTACTGTCTCTATGGCGTATCTTTTTTCTTCATGCACTTCTTTTCAACTTACTTACGTCTTTATATTTAAAGTGGTCTTTTGTAGGCAACACTTAATAGGATTTTATTTTCTCATCACTCTCTCTCTCCTCTCTGAGTGCCCCACACACCAAGGATAGGCCGTGTAAGGACAGAAGAAGGCAGCCATCTGCAAACAAGGGAGATGGCCCTTAACCAAGAACCGGATCGTGCCGGCACCCTGACCCTGGACTTTGGGCTCCAGAGCTAAAGAAATAAATGCTTGCTGGTCAAACACCAGCCCCGTTCCACCCGGGTCTATGGTATTTTGTTTTAGCAGTCTGAGCTGACCAAGACAACAAGAAGGGTCAGGGCTGAAAACTCAGATTGGGGTCATCGGGCGCATGTAGGGAGGAGGCATAGATGGAGAAGGAGACAGACTCTGGTCCCCTCCAGTATTTAGAAGTGAGGCGGACAAAGAGACGGAGAAGTGGTGGTGGCAGGAGGGAAACCAGGAGGGTGTGCTGTCCTGGAAGCCAGGGGAAGAGGGGATTCAAGAAAGGAGCAGCGTGGCCTGCTGGGTCAGAGCAGCTCAAGATGAGAAAGAGGAGGTGCTAGACGTGGCCAAGGTAGCTGCTGGGTTTGGAGGAGGAAGGCCTTTACTGTCCCTGATAAAGTGTGGACAACCACGGAAACTCTGGGCAAGTTTTGCAGACATGGTAGAATAGGGAAGTGGGACGGTAAGCAGAGGGGAGTGGGAGTACTATAAAAGATCTAAGATCTGTGAAAAGACAGAAAAAATAACCAAGAGCCACCCTGTGCCCGCATCCCTACTAAGGAGATAGAACCATCCTATGCAGTCGACGGCCTCAGTGTACCCTTCAAGAGAGAATCCTCAGCAGCACTGGAGGCACCCATGGATCTGAATTCAGTTTTTGCTATTATTTCGTGTTCCCCTAGCGCTTATATAAGAGTCAGTCCCTCGGCAATATATTGTTTTGCATAGTAGTAAACGTTATCTAATGGGATCATATTGCAGATTTTCTTTACAGACTGTAGTTGTGAGCGCCTTTCAGTTTGATTCAAAAAATGATCTCTAGGCACGTACCCGCGCAAGGCTTAATATGGGACTCCGAAGAGCTTGAAAGTGACCGCTGCCCTGGGGGGGGGGGGTCCCCTGCCTCCCAAGGGACTCTGCAGCTGCGTCCCCAACAGAGTCCCCAGCAGGGAAGAGCCCCCTGGCGGGGGTGGGCAAGGAGTTGGGACGGACCGCCCTCAGGCCCTGCCGCCCAGGCTCCGTGTCTGATGGGGGAGGCAGGTGTGCCCCGCAAGGCTCCCCCCGCAGCGTACCCCTTTCAGCCCAACCCCGGCCCGGCTGGCGCGGCCCCCCTCGGAGCGCCCCGGGGCGGGGCCGGCGCAGCTGACCAGTGAGCGAGCGGGGGAGCGCGGCCGCTCCGCCCCGCGGTGTCCGTCCCCCGCCCCCACACGGAAGGCTGGGGCGGTGCCTGGACTCCATACCCTCCCGCCAGCCTCGCGCCACCATGGCTGCTCCCGCCTCGCTGCGCGACTGCCAGGTACGTGGAGTCAGAAGCCGGCCGGCCCACGGCCCCGGGATGGCCTGGCGCCCGCGGTGGCACAAGAACCGACCTGCGCGGGACCCGAGGTCAGCCGGGGAACCGGCCGTGAGGTCCTGGCGTGCGTCCTGGGTGCAGGGAGGGACCAGAGCACCCTCCCGTGGGACCCCGGCCGCGTTTCTAGGCCCCGCGGAGACCCCGGGACCTAAAAAGCATTAGCCCTGGCATGGCACAGCGGGGACGTCTGCTTGCTTGGGACCCTCCAGGTCCCAAGACCGAACCCCTTTTGCAGAGGAGGAAGTTGGAGTTCAGGGGACTTGCCCCCCAGGCATGCAATAGGCAATCGGTGCTGGGGGAGTAGAGGACATTTCCTCTCCCAGGGGAGTCACAGGCCGTGGTAGGACACCAAAGGCAGCCCTAAGGGTTAACAGGTCTGAGTCGTCTGATGAAGCTGAGGGAGGAGAGGAGTTGTTTTGGTGGTTGGCAGATAGCCTTGCCAGCTAGATGGAAAGACCACCCTGCTCACCACGCGCGCTAACGCTATACCCCTTTTCTGCCCTCCCAGACCTCTGTCAAGCCTTCTCAGGGGCTTCCCGGTACCGTATGTTTGCTCCCCTGGCAGACACTTCACAGTTGCCCCATACATCCTCTGGAGCCCCATGTGGGGCCAGCCAAGGGCCTGACAGAGGATGTTGCTGGGAGGCACACAGCTACTTAGAGACCCCTGGGATTTACATCAGGCTCTCCCACCCAGGGCTCAGCCTCATGTGCTCTGCACCGCTCTATGAAATCTGAGAGTCCATGCCCTCAAGGCTGGGGCTTATGGAAACCCAAACCGGGTGATAATCTCCTGCATTTGGAGATCTTCCGGGCTTGGGGGTTGGGGTTTATCTTTACGTTTGGAGGGTTACATGGATGTTCTTTCTCGCTGTGTGTAGGCCTGGAAGGATGCAGGGCTCCCACTCTCAACCACAAGCAACGAGGCCTGCAAGCTGTTTGATGTTACCCTGACCCAGGTGCGCCTACCGAGCAGTGTGGTGGTCTCTGATCTGAAGGCCCGTGGTGCAGTGTTTAAAATTCTTGAAGGCTTTTAGGTAATAGATCTTTCATGTTTAATGTTCCGGCCTATCCAGCAGCTACATTTATTTATGCCACAAAATAAACGGTACTTACGCAAGCGTGCAGCTCTGCTCTGAACTCCCGTCTAACACGGCTGGCTTCCATTTCTAGCCAGACGCATGTATCATCTGACGTACTCTCCACGCAACGTTGCTGAGTGATGACCACGAGCAGGCACATACTAGAAGCTTCTAAAGCTCTACACCTTTATCGGCACTCCGGCTTTATAAGCAGTGAAGCCCACCGGCCCCGTGGCTACCAAATCTCCCGGTCGACTTGGGTACAGTAGGGCATCCTGGGGACACAAACATGCTTCGTCATGCTTTGAAACCCCACAGCCAAGAGCTTGGAAAGTGGTGGATGCTGTTTTCAATTTCACGGTGAATTTAGCAACCGCTTACAGTGGGATTTATGTTCTCTGGGCCCTGGGGTTGGAAGCATTTTTGCCAACCCATGGCACAGCTGAGAGGCGCCCCCAGTGGCCGGCCGACAGCCATGGGATGTTGATGAGGATGCTGACCCTCCTCCCTAGGCATCCCCCTGTGGCCTGCTGAGGGTTTGATATGGGCCCCCTCCACTGCGGGCCTGGGGCCCTGTCCTGGAGCTAATCTTTGAAGATATTGCTCTCACCTTGGCTGTTCCAAGACCCTCCACCATGTTACCAGCAATTTCTAACACAAATGAAGGAGCCTATACTTTTAGAACTGGGAGGGTCTCAGAGGTGGAGTCCAACAAATCTGTTTGACAGGTGGGGAAACTGAGGCCCAGGGAGCTGAGCTGGCTCATGCACTCAGGTAGAGCAGGAGCAGGATGTACCTGGTCTGTGTATGCCGATGGAAAACCCCAGAGCTGGTCTTTATCATGAGCAATGAGAACATTGCCTGCTAACTCTATCCACACAGCATAAGGACCAAAAAGCCTTCTAGAAACCTAAGTAGAAGAAACAGCCAGTGAAATTCTGTTAGCTTGCCAAAGGACTCTACTGTGTGCATGTGAGCTCTGTTTGTGCTCTTCCTGCACGTTTTGGCCTTGGTAGAGCCCTTGATTTTTACACAGCCCAGTTCCTCAACGTAGCATGGTCCACCCCCACCCCCGCACGGCCTGTCCCATGGATCAGCATCTCTGTGCTGCTCTGTGTTAGAGCGTAGGACCTCTGAATCTCTGCACCGCCTCCCCTGTGTCTTAGTAAAACACACTCTGCTAGTTCTGTGTAGATGTAGGTTAGACATCTGATAAGACACATTTTAAAATCCAGTGCATTATTATGGTTTTAGGATTTTTTTAAAAATGAGCATTTTTATTTATTTTTATTTTGTTTATTTTCCTATTGCCTAACGCGGGGCCCGAACTCATGACCCTGAGATCAACACCTGAGCTGAGATCAAGAGTCAGATGCTTCACCGACTGAGCTACCCAGGTGTCCCCCAAAATAAGCATTTTTGAAAAAAGGATTAGAAACAGATCTACCAAATTGTCAAAAATGGCAATGGGGTGAGATTAAGTTTGATCATTGGGCTTTCATGTCTCTTCCTAACTTTTTGTCAAAAATGTTTAGTAAAGGGCGCCTGGGTGGCTCAGTTGGTTAAGCGACTGCCTTCGGCTCAGGTCATGATCCCGGAGTCCTGGGATCGAGTCCCACATCGGGTTCCCGGCTCAGCGGGGAGCCTGCTTCTCCCTCTGACCCTATCCCCTCTCATGCTGTTTCTCTCCCTCTCTCTCTCTAATAAATAAATAAATAAAATCTTAAAAAAATGTTTAGTAAAGTTCTTTTTTGGAAGGAATGAATAAAAAGTAGGAAGGTTCCCACTGTGGTGCCTGATTTCAAGGCCCGTCTTACGGCTAAAGAAGCCGATGTTCTGGGAAGGTCAACTGTCAGAAAGAAGCTTCCTTTAGATGTTTATTTTCTGAAAATGGTGACCTGATCAGCTCTAGAAAACGTGCCTTCAGGGGCGCCTGGGTGGCTCAGTCATTGAGCGTCTGCCTTCGGCTGAGGCCATGATCCTGGGGTCCTGGGATTGAGCCCCGAATCGGGCTCCCTGCTCAGCGGGAGGCCTGCTTCTCCCTCTCCCATGCCCCGTGCTTGTGTTCCCTCTCTCGCTGTGTCTCTCTCTATCAAATAAATAAATAAAATCTTAAAAAAGAAAAAAGAAAACGTGCCTTCAGTTATGAGTGTTCAGTCTTCACACGAGACCAACCTAGGTGTGGTCCTTCGGAGTCCAGACTGAAATACTGAATTCTCTAGAGAGGAAATCCAGATTGAGACATATGCCTTCCTCAGCACAAACTAAGGGCTCCCTGGGGACAACT